ATAAATATGTGTGTGTGTGTTTAATTATATATATATATATATATGTATATATTAAACTATATCATGATATGTATACATATTTATATATGAATATATATAAATATACATACATATATATTATATATATTCAGATATATACTTTACTTGTATGTTTGTATATAAAGTTTATACGTATATATCCATACATATGTATATTATATATATATATTTATACATGTATAAATATAAATACAAATATATATATATATATATATATATATACTTTTATATGTATGTATATATATACATATATATGTGTGTGTGCGTGTAAGGGGGGTGTGTGTATGTATTTGATTGTGTGTTTGTGTATTTATGTAAATATTTTGAAAAAAAATGTGTATGATATATATATATATGTATATCGTTACATATCTATGTGTATATATTGTATGTTTATTTATGAGTATATTATTGTTCATGAATACACACACATATATATATATATATATATATATGTATATGTATATGTACATATATGTGTGTATATAATTGAATGTATGTATGTATACATATATTTATACATTGAATATATATATATCTATATCTATATATCTACATATATATATATATATATATATATATATTTGTGAATATATTTGATTGTTTGAGTTATTGAATGTGTTTATATGTATGTATATATTTTGAGAAAATTATGTGTATGATATATATATATATATATTTATATGTATACATATATATATATATATATATGTGTGTGTGTGTGTATCGTTACATATATATGTGTATATATTTTGTAAGTTCAGAAACCTGTATGAGTATGTTATTGTTCATGAATACACACACACACACACTCACACATATCTATATATATATATATATATATAGTGTGTGTGTGCCTGTGATTTCGTATAGATCTATATTATTGGCATTTATCATCGGCACACATCTTTGCTTTCACTCATTCGTACCTGCCACTTTATATATGTCTGTATTGTATTTAGGTTGGCATCATCGGTGGCACCGGTCTAGATGATCCTGATTTCCTAGCAGATCGTGAGGAGAAATATGTCGACACTCCTTTCGGAAAGGTGAGTCCTATGGTTTGTCGTTGATCGAGTTATTTCCCTCGTTCCTTATCGCAACAAGTCTAGTTCATGTCATTCCACAATCCCATGAGTGTGTCATTATAAGTTCTCCTATTATGATACCTTCAGCTTGTGTGTATTGTCGTACGCCCATTTGTGAGTCCTTATCCTGAAACGAGGTGCAAGGTGCCGCTGTCTGTACCACACTGTACAGAATCGCATGCTTTGGGCTGGAGAGATGTTTGGGTTCTTTTTGTATGGCATACATGGGCTGTATTGCAATGTTTTTGCGTATGGAGTATTTGTTCTTTTTGTGATGGTATGAGTATGTGACCTTGGCGGTGTGTCGAAGACGTCTCGGCATTCTCAAAGCATAAGTATGCCATCCATTAACATGGGGCACCTTAATCGTATGAATGGTACATGCACAACCACCTCTTATTCCACTATCCTCCTCCACCGCCCACCATCACTATCCTATCCTAATCCACACGCTCTCGTTATTGCGAGTGATACAGTCCGACGACAAAGGTGCGACACCCATACACACGTGCCCTACACAAACCATGCCTGCCCTCAATTTGTCCACTTTTTTCTGGTCTGTCTCGTAACCCAATCTGGAGGGTTGGGTGACTGACTTCCTAAGTTCATTTGATATCTGTGGTGTACGGTGGAGCCTCCCTCATTCTCCTCTCACACACTCCACTCCCCACAGCCATCGGACGCTCTCATCATCGGCAAAATCGGAGGCGTTGACTGTGTACTGCTGGCACGTCACGATCGCGCACACACCACCTATCCATCCAACATCAACTTCAGAGCCAATGTATGGGCCTTGAAGCAAGAGGGGTGTACACACGTGGTGGTCTCAACTGCGTGTGGCTCGCTCAGAGAGGAGATTGCACCCGGGCATCTGGTAGTGCTGGACCAGGGTATCGACCGTACTACCAAGCGCGCGTCAACGTTCTATGATAACTCTGCGGAGGGAATCGAGGTAGGTGTGTGGGGGATTGCATGTCCGGTATTCAGCGATGGAACGTTATATTTGTTCAGAGTGTTGGAGTGTGTGTCTGTGGCACCTGGAAGGGTACACTCTCATAGAGTTTTTAGGGTTTTAGCTAACCCTATAAACCCCTAATACCTACGTATGCGAAAGGTGTGGCGATAGAAAGCTTAAAGCGGTTAGCAGCTCGTGTTGCATGTGTTGTTGCATTGCTATCGCCACTTTGAGTGACGTCGATGCCACCCAAATTGACTCATCTGTGTTAGGGTTTTTAGGGTTTGAGCTAAACCCTAAACCCTAAGCATATGTGCTTCTTGGGTCTACCTCAGTGCAAATGTGTCGCAATTCCTTTGAAATGATAATTGCATATCGTTGGCCCGATCCTGGGCTCGGCCACTTCAATGTATCTGCTGATGCTGATGTGTGTTGTCCATGTGCGTGCGACTGATAAATGGGTACTGATAGACTGAGCCTTTTATGGTCTCTCATCGGTCAGTGCACCTCTGGCTTTATGTCACCCATGTGGTTTCGGCGTCACACTAGAACGTATCTGCCACGTGTGTGTCCTCTCCTCAGGAACAGCATCGGCTCCTAGACACCCCTTCTATCGCCAAAAATACTTGGCTCTTGCGCCTTGTTTATATGAGCTATAGAAGCCTCGTCCACGTGCAAAAGGCGCGTGGAGGTACTTCTGCACACCTGTGAGTATTCGACTTACGGGATGAATGCACACCTTCGAACGTTTTGAGTATCAGGGTTTAGGGTTTGAGGCCTCAAACCAAGTTTGTCTCACGTAGTTATGCCAGGAAAAACCGGCTCGTGGTCTTTTTGACCCATACTAGTCTTCACGGCATTGAGCCCCTTCAACTGAACTCAATACAGCACCTACCCAACGTCCCACCTCACGTACTGTCCATTTAAGAACGCATTTTGTACTTGCTAGTCTACTGTGGCCTGTGTTATGTACTGATCATTGAACCCTTGCTGACGTCCGATAGGGAGTGTGTCACGTGCCCATGGGTGATCCCTTCCACCCCAGGCTACGTCAGGTGGTCATCGACTGCATGAAAGATCTGGACATCACACATCACACTAAAGGTATGTCGATTTGAATCCATACGCTGCACCGACCTATATATATATATATCTATATATGTGTGTGTGTATCGTATGCGTAAACCACACGTATGTTAGGTGTCTTGGTATCATCTCTTCTGTTAAGTATATATCGAGTATTGCGTAAACTTCTACCTGGCGTTCTGATTTTTCTATCTGGCAGGTTGCACAAATGAATATCTATACATCCATATATTAATATATCAATATATATACATATATAGTTTCAAGTCATATATGATATATTTGTTTACTTGAACACCACACATCACATTACCGTATCTCTCACATGCGCCAGTCAATTCAGGTATCATATATTGCACTCCCGTGTTTCTTACCCGTGGCGTGAAGAAGCCTTCTCCCAGTCCGCACGATCCAAAGTAACGCCCTTCTCATATCATGCGCATTTGCTGCAGGCACAATGGTGTCTATTGAAGGGCCCCGTTTCTCCACTCGTGCGGAGTCTCTAATGTTCCGTGCATGGGGTGGCGACGTCATCAACATGACAACATTCCCTGAGGTAAGAGTTTCTATTAATAGAACATTCTCTGGGGTAAGAGAATCTATTAATAGAACATTCCCTGGGGTAAGAGTTTCTATAAATAGAACATTCTCTGGGGTAAGCGTTTCTATCAATAAAACGTTCTCTGGGGTAAGAGTTTCTATTTATAGAACATTCCCTGGGGTAAGAGTTTCTAATAATAGACCATTCTCTGGGGTAAGAGTTTCTATTAGTAGAACATTCCCTGGGGTAAGAGTTTCTATTGATACAACATTCCCTGGTGTAAGAGTTTCTATTGATACAACATTCCCTGGTGTAAGAGTTGCTATTAATAGAATATTCCCTGGTGTAAGAGTTTCTATTAATAGAACATTCTCTGGGGTAAGAGTTTCTATTCTTAGACCAAAATGTTGCGAGAGTAGTTGGTAAGACCATTGAAAAGATATCAGGTACATTAGACGGTGCATTTGGCATTGATTGTATCGTATTCGTACCGTATCACTCTGCGGCATCGTCTCAAAGTAAGAGAGGCGGGTCTTTGTATACTGATACTAACAGATGTGTGGGTGAGGCTGTTCAGCATGTACACTCCGCGAATTAATCAGCCGCGCAAGACCTAACGCGGAAAACAATGGGCTATATCCATGCATAGTTACTTCAACTTATATTGCCCTACCAAACACGCGTTCTAGCAAACATATGTTAGTATCACATGCTATTGCCAACCAAACCTTGGTTATTGCAGCAAAAAAAAAATGTATATTAACAAGTATACGTTTGTAGGGCACATGCTCGACATGACAGTGTACAAACCGCATCACATGCAAGCAAACCCTAAAACCCAAGGGTCAACGATTACACACATTCCTACGAATTCATTTTAGTTCGAATTGCTTGAACCCTCATGCTTCTCCCACTGAGTTAACTTTAACTTTATAATAAGTATTGAGCTAACTTTAACTTTATACTAAGTATTGAGCTAACTTTAATTTTAAAGTATTAACTTTATAATAAGTATTGAGCTAACTTTAATTTTAAAGTATTAACTTTATAATAAGTATTGAGCTAACTTTAACTTTATATTAAGTATTAAGCCAACTTTACCTTAATAATAAATATTAAGCTAACTTTACCTTTATAATATGTATTAAGCTAACTTTACCTCTATATTAAGTATTTTAAGGTCTCATGTACTACCTGTGCCTACCGATTGGCCTCGGTGTGAACACAAACCCGACACATTGCACTGGTCAGTAGACTTAAGCTGTTTAGTATTATTGTTGTCATGCGCAACCCTATATAATATATTCATATAATAATGGGTTAAAGTACAACCTTATGTAGTATTCCTACATATATAAATTGGTTGAAGGATGACCTAGCTTGTAAAGTACTTTTAAATACGAATAGGTTGGCGTACAAGCTTGTACATCACTTTCGATCACAAATGAGTTCAAGTGCAGGCGTGTGTAGTACTTTCACATACAAATGGGTTGCATGTGCATGATTGACCAACATGTCTGTAACAACTACCACAGAAAATGCCATCTATACTCTTGTAAGTACATCCCTATTTAGCTTCGATGGCTTCTCATTGCTTTAAATACCCAATACAGGTTGCGCTCGCAAAGGAGGCTGGTATAATGTACGCTTCAGTTGCCGCAGCCACTGACTACGATTGCTGGCACGAAAGTGAAGAACAGGTATGTTCCGTGCTGTCGCACACAGTGTGTGTTGTGGGGTACTAGCAGTATATCAATGTGCATGTGGTTGTGTTTGTGCATACGAGAGTTATGTGTGTTGTGGGGTACTTACGGTATATCAATGTGCATGTGGTTGTGTTTGTGCATACGAGAGTATGTGTTTTTGAGTGTATTTGTGTATAGGAGAGTTATAACTTTTGGGTGCGTTTGTTTATGTGCGAGTATGTGCTTTTGAGTGCGTGTGTTTCTATTGTGAGTGTATTTCACACTCCTGTCATGTGTTTATGTCACATCCAGAAACCTATCCCCGTACACTTGTACTCACACGTTAACATATCTCAAATGATCTTATTATGTGTACATACGCATCCTCATATACGCGTGCTCTATAACCACACCACTCACGTACAGGTCAACGTCATGATGGTCCTCAAGACCATGAAGAACAACGCAACGAATCTGCAGAAACTATTTTTAGAACTTGTGCCCCGGATCGGCAAGATGGACTGGACGGATGACATCACTGAAGCGCGTGACACTGTGCAGAATGCGGTTATGCTGCCACGTGCTATTGAGCAGGCTTTCGAAAGCATAGAGTGATGGATGTTTGATGCACTGATCGGAAATAAGGAATAGTAGTAGTAGTTGTTGTAGTAGTATGCCACACATTAGTTTAAAACAGCATAGAAAACTATAAATGGCTGAGAACGACATATTGGAGCGATATACACATTGTTCTGCGATTGCGTTTTAATTATTCGCTTCACGTATAGTTCCGCATGGTCTTATAGAGACCAACGCATGGCACCGGGAAGGGTATCTGTGCGGTTGAGCTAACTAAGGAGTGGTAGTATAGATCTGCCCAGCGAGGCCCTACATCTGTGTGCTTGGCTTCGATTTTCAGTCGCACGCCAGAGCTCTAGTGGTACATCTCCAAGAAATATCTCATGCACAACTACCTAGGCAACTGCGTGGCGAAGTTGTGCACTCGACACTCACTGTAAGAATTTCGCACCCTTGCATAGTATGGGCAAAGATAACATGTTGGTCAGGAAAGTGTTTTAGTCAATTGGATGTCGTCTCTGCCTGCGAGTGGGGGTCTTTTTATGAACGTTTTTTTTTCACGCCTTCTCAAATATATATTGAGAAGACTAGTTTTTGTTGTCTCCATTCATATACTTTTTCCGGGGGAATCTAACATGCACGTGCGAGGCGTACTAGTGTTTCATCGAACATAACAGGCGAAACACCATACATTCGACAAACGCGACAGAACAGAATCCCCAGTATTTGTTTAACATATTAGCTTGTTGATGTCCAAAATAAATTGGGAAATTTCATAAACAAACGCGTGGCAGCAGATACGATTCAACACGTAGTATCAGACCATCTGATGATAGAATAACGTTGATTTCAATATAACTTCTCTACTGCGACAGCTTTGGGAAACACAGTACTTGCTAATGTGCGAATGGCACAATCCATCAGAGCTACAATGCTTAAGGCTTGGTACCCGTGTCACGGCACAACGCACCCTCAATTCCAAATTTGTTCATTTCAACGCCAAAAATAATACTATCAAAGGGGGGGCAAAAAAAAATTGAGAATGGAACTTTCTAGATAGTGTGACGCTTCCATTTAATCTTTCTCGCTACTATAGTGATGACTTCACCACTGAAAGCGTGAGCTTGGAAGCCCCTCCAGACTTTATTGACGGCTGGCTTTTTTGCCTGTCCGTCACAAATTGCTTTATATATAGACCTCCAAGTAAAATCACGGTGTGTAAAAATACGCCTACAAAAAGGCACATTGAAGAATTCTAAACCAACCAATGAAAACTTCGTGTACAGAGGGTTTTAACGCGTTGAAAGAAAGTTAACGGGCCGTAAGATATGAAGCACTGGCTACCTTATTTAGTCATCAAAATTACAGCTATTTAAAAGTTTGGGCGTTTCCTCAATAGCAGTTTCAATGGTTTCAGTCCCTATGTCGGAGACATGTTTTATTCGAGTCCTGAGTAACCACGCCCATCCCATGGTAAGAGCCTCTATTGATACACTTTATAACTCTAATCTGAGAGAATGCGCATCACGAGGTAGAACCGATCGCTACGATCGTAGAGCATGAAGAATACTGAGCAATACAAGGTGACCAAACCAGATATCGGAAACCCTAAAAACCCTAAAACATATCGGGCCTTTTCTCATAGACATACCGATCACTGCGATCACGATGAAGCCAGTGATACAAACAACCCCAAGGGCAAGTATATGATTACGGCAGTGGCACTGTGTTGATGCACCCATCCAACGATAGAGGTTACAACGAGATCAACAGCTGACGACTTGACATTGATATACGCGACATACAGTATCTATACAATAGCTGCAGCAATACAGCGTAGCTAGAGCCACGTATAACACGCAGCATATTGCGAGAACCGGTACGAATGGGAACCGATTGAGAAATCGACGACTTCGCGGAGGTTGAGTGAAATGTTGGTGGTGAACAGAACAATAATGTGCCGGGTGAAGAAATCACCACTGCAGTAACCGAATGCTAAGAAGGAGAAAAACCAGCAGTTATCAACACCGATGTCGGCACGTGCGTTTGTTTTGCCTCAGGTATCATCGGAGTTTACATCATAACTTCCGAAATTGATATAATCGTCAGTGACGATGGCCAGCAACAACAGACACTTAAAAAAGCGTTATTCGGGATACCCGGTTCTTGGCTTTTATATTCTTTGTTGTAGCAGCAGCACATGATTGAAACCGTGGCTTTCTCCCCTTCTGAACTATTGACCCAAGCCGCCAGTTAGTTCAAGTACATTCTAGTGTACATTTCAATTACTTGGAAACTAACACTCAGCAACTGGGCATAGATACCTCATTTTGATATAGGGCTTTGCCAATGTTTGTCGCTTGAAGTGAATAAAACTTTATGAGATAGCGACCATCAACTGTATGCATTGCGTTTGAAATTAAGTATTCCATTATGGAAATTTTTTGTTCTCTTGGAACTAAACGAAGATCCTTACGATGTATTTAATACCACGAGCCCACGACAATTGTTTAGTAAAGGAAACAAAGTGTAATGTACCCAGTACATAATGTAGGTACAATATTTCCTCAAGAACGCAATCTTGCCCGTCCGTAGTAAGAATAAAGATATATTGCTTCATCCATTATTTGGTTGGAGGGTGTGTCTTCGACTACCTCAGCATCTACCTCACTCATAACCACTTTTTGTTAAATAGTACGGTCAGGAAGCGGGTTTAAACCTCTGTGGGTATGTCTGCGGCTTATCTGAGACAGGCCAGAGCACAGTAGACTTGCAAGTGTTCGCAGCCAGAGGGTGCAAAGGTACTTTCGACCGAGAGAAAAAAATATGCTTGGTGACCGACGCTCAAAATGCCGCAGCGACCTCAATAGTGTGGGGACATTGTGAAACCAATACCAATACCCAAGATGAGGGTAGCATCCTATCAGGGGAGGGAACATGGGTCATGCCCATGTATGCTTCAGAGAATCTTCTTTGGCAGGAGGTATCGCGATAGGAGACGTGAGAAAGAACGACGGTACAGCCCCATGGGACAACCTTTGATAAGGGGGGATATACGTACAACAGAGTATAAAGCCACCCGCTATGCTAAGCTGCACCAAAGATTGAGTATTGCTCAAGTGAAAACAAATTATTCGACCACCACACTTCCAGAGGAGAATCACCATCTACTAGCCGCCTGAACAAACGAACGCATCAGCATCGTGCGGGTCGTGCCGTTGATCCGCCATGTGAAAACATTCGGCTGCCAGCTTGTATTGGGCAGCCTCATCGACGTGATCCACGGTATTGCCCAGTTCACTCGGCGGGTGGTTGATTTCGGCAACGTCTTCGCCAAATGCATTTCATATTCAAATGAATGGCATTCACTGAGTGCTTCCCGTTACCACTGTGCTTATCCTGGTCAGGTGTATGGCGGGGTTATGTTTCGACAGACCGCGCGCTGTCGTAGTATGCGGCTACCGCACGATGAGTTGCTGAAGCCGTCCAGCTTTCATTGAGTCGGGATTGCCTCGTATTCAGTGTGGACCTCGTAAGGCGGCTCCATTCACCTGATCACCCTCTACTAAGCTCCTTGCCAATGACTTGTGACCAAAATACAGCCAATTTCGATACAATCCTAAGCGTCCAATTGGCTCAGCAACCCCTGTGCGCTGAGAGATTGAAGTATTGAACATGTCAAAAGCCACCCAAAATTCTGAGTGCCAAACAAAGAGAGTATCCTTTTTTAGCAGCTTCACTATCGGATTGTGAATGGTGGCAAAACCGCGGACGTTTTACACTTCGGTTTAAATACAATAATACCGCGACTTATTGAACTAGCTCTGTGCTAGCAGAATGAGATGTATTTTTTAAGGCCTCGAGGCTTTCATCGGTCACTGACTCGCCCGTGAAGCAAGTCCTCTTGCCCACGAAAGTGAGCATCCGACGGAAATAAGCTATCTGGTACCTTTTATTAGGCATAGTTGGATTTAGCAGGATCGCCGGAAGAGCGTCACAACGGTCCTCAGTTGTATA